CCACTTCTAAACAAACACGGTGCAGCCCGGCTTGCATCACGACAGCGATAGCGAATCCCCCAGCGTTCTCCGTCGTCTTTGCCTGACTGCAATAGTTTTTCGTGATATTTCCACGCGACAAATGTGTTTCGATCCATTTCAACCGCCCACCACCCCTTCGCTTTTTTTTACTTTCTTTTTTTTTTTACACTAAACGCGTCAGCGCACATGGGACAACACTATCAAGCCGCTTTTGGATGTAGTTTCAGGGTTTCGTTTTCCGGTTGTTGGTATTAGTACTCTATCACCTAGGTACATACGTTCGGTATTGTTACCGAAAGATATTGCTCTGTCCACCGCAGTTAGACGTCAACCTTCCTTTTTTCGGGGGAGTGGGGGAGGAAGGTAACTGCACTACAGCCGTCTTCAGGGCTCCTGTAGCGGGTGCGAAAGGCGACCAGACTAATTTTGGCTAAACATGTCTCGCTTTTGTTTCCCATAATTGCGTTTGTGTCCACGCCACACGCGTTTATTGCTGCTTTCTTTTCGATCGTGATAAATAATGATGCCACGTCGCGAGACATATTTCTTTTTTATATTGTTTCGTTACTGCGATTTTCGTCGCAATAAACAACTGGTGCCGACTGGGCGACATATATCATTTTCTTCCCTTTTGCGGGACGAGCAGCCGATAGGGGGAGACCGGGCGCGCTCTTTCTTCGCTGGCAAGGGGCGGACGCGGAAGCGTAGGCGAGACGGGTCGAACTACTCTTCGTGTGTTGACACTAGTTTCATCCGGCGGTTGTGAGTGCGTCTGGCAACAGAGGAAGTAGGGGGATGCGTGGAGGACTAGAGACAGCCGGAAAAGCCCATAGAGAGGGGAAGAGGGCCGTCTCGTTTCAGCCATTTTCCTGAAAATGCCAGCAACACTGCCTGTTTTCGGTGTTTCTCTTTGCCTCACGCTTTTCTCTCTCCGCTATCAGAAGAACAACTCGATAGGATGCGCTCTAAAGGCCAGAGCGCCGCACTGCTCTGTCCTCCCTGATGTGACGACGCCTGTAACTTTGTTATTTTAGTTTATAGCAAAGGTTAGGATCGGCCCTGTTGCGTTGTGTTCGTTCTATAGATAGGGTAAACCGATCATCGACGTACTTAGTTGTGGATCACGACAAGGTGCCCCACTCCGATTTTTTCTCATTTACCCGCGAGAAAAAAAAAGAATGGAGATTAGTTGATTGAGTGATGACGTTTGAGGTGAAGCAAATCAACATACGCGCTCCGACATTGATTTGATTGATTGATTTGATTGATATGTGGGGTTTAACGTCCCAAAACTACTATATGATTATGAGAGACGCCGTAGTGGAGGGCTACGGAAATTTCGACCGCCTGGGGTTCTTTAACGTGCACCCAAATCTGAGCACACGGGCCTACAACATTTCCGCCTCCATCGGAAATGCAGCCGCCACAGCCGGGATGCGAACCCGCGACCGGCGGGTCAGTAGCCGGGTACCTTAGCCACTAGACCACCGTGGCGCGGCTACGCGCTCCGACAGCCGTCGCGTGCTGGGGCGGCGCAGAATAACTCGGACTATACGCGTGGTTTTTGTAACGTGCGCACATATTTCGCGCGTACGTTCGGGCTCTTATCTATCTAGAATTATTAGGATACGAAAGGAAATCACTGGGAATTTCTCTTTTCGCAAGTGACACGCGAGGTGCAGTGCAGAATATGGGAAGTATGCGCGTATTCATGACATTTACTCGAACCGGGGCGAATATTTTTGACGACCCTTAGTAATGGCGCATGACCTGTAGCTGCCGTCAGCTTCTCAAACTTTGTGAACATAATAAAGCGTACAACTTGTGCAAAAAAAATGTTCCCAAATAACTTTTTTTTACTGAAGGGCAAGGCGTGGAAACGCGAACGCAAGGCAGTAGAAAAACCAGAAACGCCGACTAACATCTACTGGACTTTTCGTATGAATGCTTACAAAGTACCTCAGCTATCTGTTATTCTAAGCAATAAATTGATTCGCGCGAAACGACGCATATTAGCAACATTTTTCAGGTCTTCGTACTTCGTAAACAAAAACGCAAGGTATTCATTGGAGCTTCAACCAGAAATGTTTCTGAGAAACAAAAAGTGCGAAGCAAGAGGTTGGTGCTAAAACACTTAAAAACATTCAGTCTGCATGGTCATAAGCCTATCATATAAAGAGATGTTTGACTCATTTACCTAATGTTCATAATAATATTGGGAGAATGACTTGTTGTGATGGGATAAGCACAACTTGATGTCGCCGGAACGGAAATGGCCACTCCCGTTTTCCTTCTCATTCACCTTTTTTGCATAAGCGGTGCTCAAGATAAGGATTTCGAACTATACTGTCGACTAAGTGCTGGCGTAATGCCTGCTATTACAGTGGCCGCATGACGGCGTGCGCATAATCCGCAGCCGAAGCCCCGATGCCGAGGCTCAAGCACGCGTCCACCGGCGGTTGCATGCCATTGACCGCGGCTTCGAAAAAAAAAAAAAAAAAGGCGCTGCCGACGCGCAACAGCCGAAAACGACGTTTACCCCATATAGCCTGGCCTGCTCCTTCGAAGGAAAGCTTGCGCCCAGCCCTGCGGCGACCTCCGCCAACTTAGGCCGTAATATAAGTTGTCAGCCGCAGGTGCTGTTGTCGTCGCCAGAAACAAATCCTCGCGTGGCGTTCTATAACACGCCGGCGGCCCGCCTCACGGGTGAGAACGCTCGGAGCCAACCGGGTTAGTAGAGAAAATGACAACGTGTCTCCTGGTGTGTACCGGTATAATGGGACGGAGTCCGGTTGGGGCTACTCTTTATGGAAACATTGAGGACGGTAGCCTGTGTCGCCGCGCTTACGTGCGTATTGGATGCGCTCCAAAATATTTTTCCTTTAGTATCGTTTGGCCACCTACAATAATAGTGCGATAGTGAATGTAGATTAGATGTGTATGCATGACATGCCTTGCGGGTGAACCAATACGACGGGCGCTCCGCTCCGCTTCACAGCCACGGCATACTTTCGTGCATTACACAATGCCTGAGAGGCAACCTATAGACGTTCTTTCGGCTACATCGCCCACCGTGACATCACAAATGTTAACTCGGCGACGTACTTTACGAATGATTTGCTGTCCGATTTATATGCGATGCTTTGTGACCCGTACTGCGGCTTCTTCACATTTGTCAAATCTGCTAAACCGAGGAGCCACTTGTTTTCCTCCTCAGTAATTGCCCTTTGAGCAGCAGCGCCGTGAATACTGAGCCGAATATTATGAGATTGCGGCACCGATGAAAATATCGAACAACTGTTGTGCCACTGTCCTCAATTTACCTCAGAGAGACATGTGCTTGCCAACGCAATGCGGTGACTGAATGGTCGACCACTTTCTGTGCCGGTGCTATTACACCACCGTCCACATCCCTCGACAACCCACAAGGCACTGAAAGCCGATCTTGTGTTTTTTTAAGGATGCGAGGTTTGTGTGAACGCCTGATTTGCGGAGGAGTTCTACACCGCTGCAGTGAATTCACTGTCTCCCCATTTTTCTTTTCCTTCTTTTCCCTCTTTCTCATATTTCTTGTCTCCTTCGCTAATCCCCCAATGTAGGGTAGCTAACCGGATGTCTCTCTGGTTAACCTCCGCTGCCTTCTACAATTTGTTGCTTCCTTGCTTCCTTCCATTACTTGAAGTTCGTTTGACTAGCCGCATACTTCGCTGTCCTTCTTAACTGCGATCCAATAGCTGTTGGATTTCGTAAATTTTGGTAGATTTGGAGCTACAGACACTAAGAAGACATGGTCTCTTTTCTTAATGTTTTAAAGTGACTCGGAAGTTCTCTATGGCATTCATATGCACCTTAAAAATGAAAGTTTTACATTCGCTTCTGCTTAACACCCATTATGGATTCTCTCGGCGTGGAGTGCTTGCATTATAAAACAGTATGGCGATTGCACAGTTTTGAAAAAAAAAATGATTATGACCTCATACGCATTAGACGTTCATAGATATTATGACATAAAGATACGATGAAAGACTAGAAGAAATTTATGTGAACATTCTTCTAGAAAACATTTTCATCGGATCTAAAGGGACGTCATATGGCAAAAGCTTACATTTTGTTTATGTATAAGGTCTTACAGAAGTTGGCTTGAATGCATTGCGTGAACGAAAAAAATATTGAAGGAAACGTTGATTAAAGCAAAAAAAAGAAAACCAAAAATAGTACATTTTGTTTAAATATACGTAGGTGTCTATGTTTTTGGCTGTTACAAGAATCTTTTGTTATTTTGTATATCCCGACGTCAATTACGAAAGACATGAAACGTCGAATGCTCCAACCTAACCGTTTTTATGCTAATGCGTAAACCGCACTTCTTTTTTTCTTCAGTTGTTATAGATGAAACATGGCGAAGCCCACAGCCCAGTGTGTTGGCATGGAAACGCATCCGCTAAATATAAAAACGTTCTCTACATAGGGACCGCAACCATTGTCAAGAGCTCGATTTTTCTCCATGGAACTGGCGGAAATTATTTTTGAACGGTATATCTAAGAAAGAAAAGCTCACCGCAAACTTTGATAAAAGAGGCCTCAAGGCGTACGAACGCAGTAATCTTTGAGGAAACAAAATTGTAATCATTCAATTTAGTATAGTTTCAGGGTATTCATCTCGCGAATGTGGTGCTTGCAAACGTGGTTTTGTTACTCGCGCGTGTGTGCGTGACTGATGCTTGAGCACGACTGGTCGCGTTCGATCAGGGTAATTTAATGTGCCGTTTACAGAACGCAGCCGCGCATACACAAGTTATTATAGTAATATATGGCGGCAAAATCGCGAACGCGCGCCGTGAGAAGCGTCTTGTCGCTTCGCTACCCCACACTCAGAACTTTTCTTCAATGCCTCGTTGAGAAGCGTCGCAACAAACAAAAGCACCACTGCGAGGAAGCGTTCGCTATACTTGAGAAAGAAAAATTACCCCGAAAAGACAATGAGCCAGCCGAACTACCGTGAACGAGACGTGACTGCCATGCCTTCCGAGTAAGCTGAAAAAACACCCACAACGAAATAATAGGAAAATTGAAAAAAAAAGTAGAGGTGCCATACATCGGATGAGATGGGGGTGAAACTGCCGCCATTATACTCGCCAGTTTAGCGGGCCATTGACAAAAACAGGGTGAGAGCAAATCGAAACGCGCTATACTAAAAGAACCTAAACAGCGTGATATAGAAAGATATATAGAGAGAGAAAGGTAGAAACGGGGAGGGAAGGAAGAGCTGCGTTACAAAAGGAGAGAGCTGTTGCTGCCGCCACGTTCTTCAATGCTTCTGAGTCGCACTTCTTCGGGGCAGGTCTCGCTGTCAGTTTGAAGTTTTCCCTCGCATAAATCACGACACGGAAAGCCGAGTTTTATGGCCAGCTGAGACCGGGACTCCGTTGGTGCGCAGAAAGTCCGTGCCAACATGGGGCAGGAGAAGGCGAGCGGTGTATACAGCAGCAGCAGGAGGAGGTCGTATAAGAAATGGAAAGTTAGGCACCCGGAAGGGAACAACAAACAAACCAAGACGTGAAGAAGTAAAGAGGTAGACAATGTGTGGTAACCCTTCCCCCCGTTCCCCTTCCCCTCCCCCAAGAAAAAAGAAATAACTGGACATGGTGATGGGAGTAGTAAAAGAAAGTGTGAAGGGTCTTCACTACGTAGTGACACGCAAGAACGACAATAAAATGACACTGGATTCTGTGGTATAGAAGGCATGCGCGTTCCACAAAAGATATAGAAATGTAAAATAAAAATAAACGAAAAGTGGGAAAAGGGGCAACGCAGCTTGCAGCGTCAGTAACCGAGCCGTGAATAAGCAAGCGCTTATGTCGATTTCATTGGCACCGCTTTCATTTCCTCTCGCATCGTTGCGTTCCCTTCGCACACCCTTTATGGTTCAGTATGCTTTTTTTTATCGGATGTCTTTGTTTCGTATTCTTTCGTGGCTTCCTAGGCTTTTCAGGGAAAACACGAGGTCTGTTCGTCTAGATAGAATACTAATATATATATATATATATATATATATATATATATATATATATATATATATATATATATATATATATATATATATATATATATATATATATAACTGTTTTTTAGACTTTATAGCTAGCCGCTTTACTATAGCCATTATAGTTTGAGTGCTTGCAATGCGCGGGCCTTTCTCAGCGTGTGTTTCAGTGTTTCAGTTCGTTTTGCAATTTGCAGTGCCGTTTGTTCCGATTCTATTGCGGGCAATTCTTCGTGATTGAACTTTGTTTGCGCAGCTGTTCGCTCACATTTAGACTGCAGCTTTGACGACCTCCTTTCGCTATTCGTCTTTCACGCCACTCGACGCTAAGAAAGAAAAGTTAGGCAGATTTAAGTGGCGTCGCTTGGGCGCAAATGTTGCGCTCAGGTTATGTATTGCTCCTGTATCGGGGCACTACAGCTATTTCTCTCTCTTTTTTATATTTCCACATTATAGGGCAGTCAAATGAGCTGCCATTACATTTCTCCATCCTAACTTGGTACGTTTCTTTTTCTTTTTTTTTGTGACTGTTTAAGTGGCGTGTTCTCGACAGATCATTTGACAGATTTCAGTCATATCAACAGTGGTACACATATATTCTTCGTCGTAAAAAATGTACTGATTCGGGTGAAATAAACCCGATTTCAAGTCTCAATATTTGAAATTGTTTATGCATCTTACTCCGTTCCGCCAGCACGAGTGGCGAGCCAGTTTAAAGAACTAGCTCACCTTTCTGTTTTCCCATCTATGGCATCTCCTACTCCACGTTCTGATGACTTCATTGATATCGTCATCATCGTCATCCTCAGCTGAACACATGACCTCTTCGCATTTGACTGAAAACGGTGGATGTTTTTTGGTCATCAATTATTATAAAAAAATTCCACGGAGTGACGGCTCAGTGATGTGCCGGCTGTGGGTCGATGTATACAGCCCTGACTAAATCATGCAGTTACCACATCGGAGTTGACCCGTATACGTTAACTACAAACGGGAGGGAAATATCTCCGGTGTGATACTTCCTCTGCAGATAGACAACGTTGCAAGTATGCGTCGGCCTTTTGCGGAAGGGTGTATCTTGTTGACCTGACCTAAAGGTTCGTTAATCAAAAAAGCCGTGCGACTTGTTCGGTTGCACTCCATTGTGACCGACTTGAGCGCATAGCTCTATTTTGCGTTGTGCTTAATCGCAAACCATTAGTACCCACACCTATAGCTTTCATCTCTGTCTTCACGCGTATAGCGTAGAAAACTGTACAAAGGCTAGTTAACACTGCTGCGAAAGTGATATTTCTGAAGTAGTTATTATAGAAAAGGTACCATAGCTGCAGTCCATGTTTTGAGCTTCTACGCAATTACAACATCGTGCTCTTTCCCTTTCTGCGTTTCAGGTGTCCACTGTCAGCAGCAGAGCTTCCGAGTTCGACCTCAGCCCGTCGAGGTGATCGAAGGACGAACAGTGGAACTCAAGTGCGAGGTGGCCAACCAGGCCGGCGCTGTCCAATGGAGCAAAGATGGATTCGTGCTCGGTGAGTGACGATGAGCTTTTTGACGATGTCGTTGCATTCTGTGATCGTTTAGGTGGAAAAAAAAAGGGGGGGGGGATTCCACTAAAGCTGATGCTTAGCCGAGTTCCTACGGCATACTTGAAATCTGTGCGTGTGCGACATATGTGCCTTCTTTTTTCTATTCTTAATGGTCTTGTCTTTTTTTGCGCGGCGTTTCTTTCAAGTAAGGAAAGACATGTCACCGGCGTAGCACACCTGGAGTGGCTTAGCGTTGTGTTTTATTTTTTACACGCAATTTATTGAATGGATCTGCAGCAGTGAAACAGTTCAGTATATCTGACTGGCAATGCTCAACTACTACAGTTGTTGAGCTACACTCCTTTTTCTCCTGGGAATAATCCATGATAATGACTTCACGTGCATCACTTTTTCATAAAGGAGCACCCTTACTATTTTGGTATCTGCTTATTGGATGGTTTAGAAGGTATTAATTCATATATGCCCTGAAATGCATGGTGCCTAAAAGCGCGAGGCGTCGAACTGTCCTTCTGAATAAGTGTATGATGCAAATCTGGCGTAAGTAACACCTTTCCCATGGGCACCAAAAAGGTCTAATAAGTAAACTCGCCTTACCGGCAGTGCGACACTGACTTTTATTGGAGGAAGAGAAACGCGAGACTTCGCCTCAAAATTCATGTGGCACCACATTTACTCTATTCCCGATGATTTGCTATGGAACGCGTAGGTCTTCATCGAAGCCCTTTTCTTCTCGTCGATAAATAAAAGCGCTGCCCGAACGAGTTAGCGCGACCGACCAGCAATTACTGGTAGACGCAAAGTAGCGCACCTCGGTACTGTCGGTAACCATGGTGCAGAAATCATTGATCCTCGAAACATCGTCCAATTTGCTTGCCGGAAGCAAGGGCATCGATATCTCAGATTACAAGCTCCGTAATCAAGTTACACGCCAGTTAGAGCGCTCCGAGAGTGAGACCACGTGAATGAAAAACACCAGTGCCAGCTCTCTCCTTCAGCCGGCTGTATTACGTTGCTTTATATTTTCTCGGGCAATTTAGATTTCAAGAAGGTTGCGCAGCGAGCTTATGCAGCTGTTTCCTAGCCCCGCTTCGGTGGGGCTCAAATCGAATTTTCTCTCTGCATGACAGATATCGCGGGAGTCACAGCGTATAACCTTGCTTCGATGTGTGGGAGCTTGCTCTACAGTGTTTGATTTTGCTTGACCTTCCCGCTTTGTCCGAAGAACTTAAATATAACTGTTATCGGCTGTGCCTGATTTTATTTTATTAAAAATAAGCTATTTTGAGCTAAGTGGTGTGAGATAAGCTCTTAATTTTTGCTTCAGAAAATGAGTATACCACGTACGAACGCATGAGTTTCAGGAAGAGAGAATAACGCCAGAAGTGTTTTGTTTTTAGTAAACGCGAACCACTTGGTACCAGCAAGGCACTTGCTTACCCATCTATACTGCTGCCATGTCGCTCGCACTTACTCTTCTGGATTACAATGACGGCTAGGCAGTGCAATAGATATCTTACCTTGGCACACCGTGCTTGTTCAGAGATTTTAATGCTTATAAATATGCATTGCGTCCAGTGGTCAGTAAGAGGTTATGGTGTGCGAATAAGAGACACAGACACAAGAGGGAACAACGAGGCACACAGGTACGTGCAACGCTATTATGGCCTATACCAACAGGTTCAACTAGCGACTTTAGTGCCACAAGATGCCAATTCATACAGTATTTCTAGTTCACTTCATCTATGCCGTTGCCATGTCGCACGCACTCACTTCTGTGGATCACAGCAGCGACACTTTGTTGTCAACCGCGATTAGGTGAGTCAGTGAACTCAGGTACTATACCCATAGGCTCGTGCGGAGTTCATAGTTATGTGGGCAGCACATCACCCTTCCCCTTCCCCCAACCGCTCTGAAACTTAGTCGTTGAGCAGAGCATGGACGAGGGTGAACGGGGTAGTGACTAGAGTAGTGACTGCCGACGGATGAGTGACGATGGCGCTGCGCCCGCGGTGGTCGAATTGTTTCTATTTCCGCGATGCGCGCCTAAACCGCTGTTTGGGAACAAATACAGTTTTGTAGGATAAATTCGGTGCAGAAGACGTCGCGGCGATGGGTGCGGTGATGGTATGCGACGGCCATATTAGTATGGATTTCTGGAGGTCATCGGTATTTCAAGTGATTATAATCACTTGAAATACCGATGACCTACTTTCGCCGAAGTTTTCTTTTTTTAACGGAGGAGACACTTGTTTTTTGCACTATTCAGCGAAACATGATTGTTAAATTTGTGCTGTATCCATGATATTCGTGAGGTGACGAACTCTGTGATTCCTAAACGTATGCTGTATCCTTGATGTTCGCGAAGGGGGTAAAGTGTGTTTATTTACTGCACTCTATGTCCGATTTTTTGTCCGTAAACAAGCGCGATTTTTTTTTGCAGAGTACACTGAGTCAATCAAAATCAGTGCGCAGTACAAATACAAAGTACTAGACCCCCCTCTCCCGGCTCCGACCCCTTGCGGACGCCTATGATTGAACCACTGACACAGGTGATGAGGTGACGAGAATAGAGATAAGGGAAGGAGCGTATTGAGTCACGTAACCCCGTGTGCCTTTGCGGAGAGAGGAATTTAGTCTTGATGGACGCGAATATTTTATTTCCGATGTCACGAGGCGCGGCGTTCTGCTCGGTGTTAATATCGGCGCCATGTAAGTCGCTGCGCGCCTCTTGTCGCGTCATAATTTTTAGAGGTAGTTCTTTTTTGTATTTTTATTTCGGGCCTCTGGGCCAGGCTGGCGTATCCGAGGGCTTCAGGACGGGTGCGTTCCGATCACCGTGACAGGACTCGGAGAGGAAGGGTAAAGCGCACTCCATCGGCCCACTCCAGCTGTTACCGTCGTTCGTCGCGCTGCCGACGGGTCTCCTCTTCCTCGGCCAGCGGAGCGAGCGGCCCGAGATCGTTAAACGTAGATCACGCTTGACGGAAACGGCGCTCGCCAAGGCGTTACAAAGCGCTGTTACCGGCGACGCCGTAAAATAATCAAGAAAGCAGAGGCAAGAAAATGAAAAAAAAAAAAAACAAGTGAAACCCTATGAAGCCCAACAGCCGGACGATCGCCTAAGTATTATGCGACCGATATACGGACGAGAAAAAAAACTTTACGACCGCATCGCTGACTTACTTTTCTCTCGCTTTTCCTCACTTTGTTTGCTCTCTCCGCCGCTGTTCTTCATTGCGCTCGCTCTTGTGGTGCACCTGTTTGTTTGCGACGCGTCAGCCAGCTTTCTTGTTTACACTATCGAACTGTTGGCTCTTTTCTTCGGGGTCAACCATAAAATTAATTTTCTGGAGGCCATCGCCAACTCAATTGGGTGGTTCGTTTCACCAGTTGGAAAAATGCACCGAATACGGTTCTGCGTTAAAATAGACGTGAAAGCAAGAAAATGAATTGCAGGGAACAGATTATGATGCAGTTTACGATACCCTATCCTGCGAAGAATAGAGATGGCGGAGCATACGCTCTGAGAAGTAAAGGAGGTGGAGGGCTACTGAGGTTGCTCTTTTCGAGGGTGTAACTAACCTGCCGTGGTGATTCGTATTTTTGAGAGGGCTACTGCGAAGTGACGAACTATGAATCCCCACCTCCCTATCATGGTTTCTCTTTAATCATTGTTTCGTTCTGATGCTCGTCAAGAAAGCAACATTTACTTTTTGCGCAAAAGGAAAATTAGTTCTTGGTTGACTTAGTGTTTTCAAGTTTGTCCAGCCATTTGATTAGGTGTGGAATCGATATGCAAGCATCACACTCACAAATAAATTTCAGAAAAGTTGCAGCAAGCACACGGCATTCTATAGCTCACGGCCGCTGAGTCCGCATGCGCGGACACTAATACACACCATGCCACGCTATACGGCACACTCTCGAAACAAACGGGTGTACTAAGGTACCGATGGGTCATTCACCCTTGGTGCGATCATTTCTGCAGTTAATCGAAAACAAAACGGGGGGGGGGGGGGGGGGCTTTGTTCCGTAAGAGAGAAAAGTGCCTTTATTGCCGTGCTGTGTGGAAACTTTTGCACTCACTTGGTCTCTCGGAAAGCAAAGCACCCTTTTCGGCTTAAGTGTACCGTTACTTCGGAAAGTTGTTTAGAGTTATATAATAAAGAAGACGGAGAGACTGAACGATGCGCACAGGCAATGGGGCACATAACAGAAATGCAATACGTCATGGAGGCCGGTGTTCCTCAAATTATGAACATGGCGCACGAATATAGCTTCAATTAAACAGTTGCGCAGAGTAGGAGGCGGAAGCGTACTGATTAACGTGATTGGTGCCATCGCAACTGTAGAAGTCATGTTCTTTTTTAATATTTCGCTTCACGGTGTAGCTTTTAATATCAAGCAAGTTTGCGTGACCGTAAGATGTAAACAACAAACAAACAAAAAACGGTCACGTTTAAGGCAGTCGTGAGAACGCGGAACGTATACTATCCCTCTGTTGGACGCGCGAAATCATCGCTTAGCCACGTTATTGAATAACAAGTACTTCAGAAGGCGCCTCTGTCTTGACAAGTTCAGCTGCTTCATGAGAGACGTCAGCAATCACCGCTACAGGTGGAATTTGCTAACCTGTAGACAGGGCACTCCTGTGCTACCTCTTCGGTCTCAGTTGCAGTACTGTAATGATAGTCATCTTGTATTTTTATTTCTTCACTTTTGGCCGGATACTTAGCTGTAACGATCAAAGCCTCATTCGAGTGTCTCAACACGACGTTCCCGCTCTCTCTCTCTCTCTCTCTCTCTCTCTCTCTCTCTCTCTCTCTCTCTCTCTCTCGAACACGCGTAGTTCCAAGAAATGCGGTGATAGCATGGAGATAGCGAATCTTTCGACTGGAATCCAGAATGCTGCTGCAACGACGGCAATAACATTCTCCCGAGTCCGCTGCTCGAGACAATTACGCGGTTCCCTCCTGTCGGAT